ACTTTTGTCCTGAGCCATAGAATGTACAACACCAAGAGTGAACTCAAATGTAAACTATAAACTTTGGGTGAGGATGATGTGTCAATGTAGGCTCATCAGTTGTAACCAATGTATCACTCTGGGGGGTGATGTTGGTATTAGGGAGGTTATACCTATGTGGGGACAGGAGGTTTGAAGGCAATTTCTGTACTTGCCTCTTAATTTTACTGTGAACATAAAACTACTATTTAAAAAGTCTTTTTAAAATGTAAAAAGCAGAGACTTGAAGAGTCAAATCAAACATCAGAGGAGAAAAACAAAGGCAAAATCATGAAAAAACATAGTCAATCATTAGCAGAGAGGCTGAAAAGACACGCTTCAATTGCCTTAAAAATTTACAAAACCTAGGTCTCCTTAAAAATAGTTTTGCAAAGTACATTGAGAATTCCATGCAGTAATATGAAACATAAGTCCCACTGCTGCCACTGAACATGCTTCAGCTGGCTAAACCGAAGGAGCTTGACATTAACCCAAGGCTCTGCAAAACTCAACAAGAGAGTGCAATGGAGACGCAGTTGCAAAGCTGCCCCAGATGTGTACATTTTCTGCTCCATTAAAATGGCTTGGATGAGAGGCAAAGTACATTTGGCCCACAGAAAAAGAGAGTCAGGGGAGGGGTAAGACAGGACAGTCAGCCTCTCCACAGGCCTCTGTCCCCCTCAGACTTTTATTCCCTCCAATCCTTCCCCACAAGGCTTCTAGAGCAAACTGTCTGAAATTCAAATATAATCATAAGCCTTCCAGGGCTCCCCAGAGCCAAACGGCTTTGCCATTGTTCTCCATTTTTTCAACTCTGCCATGGATTTAATAACACCCACTTCAAGGATTTGGTGTGAAGTAACTGAGATCATGTATACACAGTACCTGGAATGCATGATTTATAAGCTTTAGAGGAAAAGTAGGTATTACAATTATCATCACTGAAACCAGGTCATATGAGTAGAGACAGGTAAAGGAAATGAAAATGTTTGTGCAGAAGACAAACAAGGAGCTGGGAGACAGGATTCCAAAGTTTACCATGTCTGAAGGGCAGGTGTGAGAGTCTTGGTGAACCTAGTATGGCTGCTACAAGGTTAAAGATTCTACCAACGTGCAAGTAGGAAAGACCTTTCTGATATTTGGTAATGTCTAAAAGTTAAGGGGAGATAGTAAGCTTCCTGGCATTAGAATTGTATAAAAGGTGTTCTAGATGCCCATTTTTTGGCAGAAATATTGAAGAGGGGATTCAACAATGATTTGGTTAAATTTGAAGTTTTTAATTGCCTCTTTAAGTCTGAAGTCTGTACTTAAACTATCTTTGCTCACCAGTCAATAAATCATCAATATCTTGAGTTTCTGGTATGTGTAAAGCCCAGGGCTATGGTTTCCAGGTCAAAGTACTTACTCAGTTTTCGGTAGGGTGGAAGAGGCACAGCATGGCACATAGTAGGTTTTCCATTAAGCTGTATCCATAGACTGAATGTGTGAGTCACACAGGACGCAGAAACTGATGTCTTTCTGGTGCTGTTCAAGGGTAGCTCTTTGAGCATCCCGTGCCAGTCATGACTACTCCAGAATCTATTCTGTGGATCTATGAAAAATGCATTTGAGTCTATGTTTACTCTATCGGCATCCATGTCCATTGTCTGTTCTTTTCTTCTTTCTGGGTTCTCAGAAAATGGAACTGCCTCCTTATAAGAATGATTTACTCTGACATGGGTAGGGACTTTGTTTGAACCTGAGGGTGAGGTGATATTTAATATGTTCATGAATGTGTCTGTCTTACAAGTGGTAGAATCAGTGTTCTGCCCTCCAATCACTGGGAACGGGAAAGGCAGAGTTGGGATTCAGTTTCAACTCTTAAAAAGAAAAACTGGCTGCGCAGAAGCTCTTTAGTTTAATTAGATCCTATTTGTCAATTTTGGCTTTTGTTGCCATTGTTTTTGGTGTTTTAGTCATGAAGTCTTTGCCCAAGCCTATGTTCTGAAAGGTATTGCCTAGGTTTTATTCTAGGGTTTTTATGGTTTTAGGTCTTACATTTAAGTCTTTAATCCATCTTGAGTTAATTTTTGTATAAGGTGTAAAGAAGGGGTCCAGTTTCAGTTTTCTGCATATGGCTAGCCAGTTTTCCCA